TGTGAGCGGAGGCCCAGGGAGCACTTCGACCCCACAGGCACTAGAGGCTGGTAGTGCGTCTTCCATGATCGTATCGATGACGAAGTTGAAGAGGAAAGGGGAAAGAGGACAGCCCTGTCGGACACCACTGGATGTGATGAACTCAGGAGAAAGCTTCCCGTAGACCTTTAAACGGCCGCGGGAGTTGGCGTACAGCGCCTTAATGAGGTTCAAGAATTTATGAGGGACACCTTTGCTCCACAGACAATGCCATAGTGCTTGGCGGTCCACAGAGTCAAAGGCAGCTTTCAGATCAAGAAAAACAACCATTGTTGGTTGCTGGAAGCAGTGTCGCTGTTCCAGAATCTGTTGGAGGGTGAAGATATGGTCGATGCAACCTCTTGCAGGACGGAACCCAGCTTGGTTTTCACGGATCTGCCTCTCCCTGTGTTCAGTCAACCTTCGAAGGATAAGACCAGAGAGCACCTTCGATTCCACAGCTAACAGGCTGATGCCACGGTGGTTTTCGCATAGCGTCCGTGTACCCTTTTTTAAGATAGGGATAACTGTCGACATGCCCCATTCTGCAGGCACTTGCTCTTCGTCTCACATAGTACCAATAAATTTTGTCAAGTGGGTCACCAGGGAAGTTCCGCCTTCTTTGAAGAGGGCTGGATACAGACCGTCCGGTCCTCGTGCCTTCTCACGTTTCACTGCGGCTACTTCGTACCTTATTTCTTCTTCCGAAGGGCGATCAAGGTTTACATTCTGTCGGAGACCCAATGATTGGGACCCGGCTGGATTGTACCACGGCTAAAAATTCCGACATCAAGTATAGCTTTGGATGTCTTTATCTTCAGTGCTCGATATCGGGCGAGCTCAATCAATCAATTCATCAGCTATAAACCATGTTCCATGGGCACGCTGGTCCCAGGTTAATTCACCGGGAGATACAGCCAAGCTTTGGTTAGTTTGGGAATTGAGTAACCACATATTAAAGGCGATAGCTTTGATGCACGAGGCCACTGCCTGCACAACTGGGCGATTTGTGCCAGTGTCCCTAACCAATGGTGATTCGAGTCCCAGGAGGACAGCAGCTGTAGACCCAACTGAGTTAACTGGTAGGTGCTTTCACATTTCGTTGGCAGTTTAGAATGTTCACCTTTCTGTGAGGCAGACAAAACTCGTTCAGTTTTAGCACCCTCTCGGTGCCTAATTGCCATGCCACCGGAAGGAATCACGAAGGCTGGGATACTGCCAGGATGTCCAAGCCTAGATAGAAGTCGAGAGGCACAGGTTGGGTTCGAACAACAGATCTTCCCGTCAGTAAAATCGCGGTCTAACTACTGAGCCATCTCCTAGGAGACAAAGGGTCTTCTGGCATGCGAAGTACATGTTCCAACCAGCGCAACCTATGAGGAGTGAGTAATTCATCTATCGCGGGAGAGTTCATCCTTCAAGCTCCTGATTATCCGGTGTTTGAGGGATCTGCGTGCGCCATCATAGCCGCTAGTTGCTGATATCGTCCTTCTGGCGGCAATAAGATCTGCTGATCTTGACGATATCCAGTTTTCATTCAGTCGAGTCGGATGGCCCGGACAAACAGTTCTAAAAGCTGAGAGCATTGATTCCTTAACTAGCCTCAGATCCACCTCCAAATAATCTTCGTCATCTGCGTGACTGTGCGTTTCCAGCAGCTTTTTAGCCAGATCAGCTCGACACTCTTCAGCTACTGAAACCTGCCGAAGTTAATGAACGGAGGTGCTCTCCTTTGGCACGCGTAATGTTGGCGAAAATGGAAGTGCTAACCGGGCCCGCACGATGGCCTGATCAGAGTAAAGTTGCGTACCCCAGAAGGAACGAAAATCCTTAACTGAGTCTCTACATCGGCAACTGATAGTCACATGGTTCAATCGAAACCACGACTATCTGATAGGTGGTCTCCAATTAACTTTATATGGGCGTTTGTGTTAGTTCGTACTGGCTAGGGACAGACGATGATCTGCAGACAACTGAAGAAGCCACTCCCCATTATCCGTACGGTCGGCATCGACTTCATACCGACCACCCGACTATGCTTCTTCCGGATTGAGTCATCCAAATTGGGCATTCATATCATCCGCCAGGATTACTATGTCCGTCCTTCTTGCCGACCGAAGCAGTCATGAAAAATCTTGATAAAACTCGTCCTCCTGAGTCCCAGAACTGGAGTCTGTTGGAGCGTATGCTGATACACAAACAAACACCGTTAAGCACATCGACCTGCGTTAATCTTATTTGAGCCAGACAACCGCACAGCGCAGAGGCGACTGTTTACTGAGATCCAGTCCAGTAATGCGCTTTCAGTCTTGCGGTGAAGCGCAACTCCCACACCGTAGATAGATACCACCAGCCATTGAGACGGGAGCACCAGATACCGAATGAGTGAGATGTGGAAAATCTGAGCTCGTCCTAAGCGGCTGGAGGAGCACGACCGAAGTGGGATCTTGTATGCTTGTTTCGGAGACATAACAGATAGATAGAGAGGGGAAGCAAGGTTTCAGCGGGGGATGCCTATTGCCCGACATATAGACTGCAACGTAGATCAGATCTTTTGGGTTTAGTAGGAAACCATTCTGGTTTATTTTCCTGGGCGAACATTTAGACACGGAATAGTGGCTAGGGGATTGGCAGATGGGATGATTGCACTGCATTGTACGATGGGTGGGGAGAGAGTGTGGGAGAACGCCGGTGAGCGAAGAGCTACAAGGGCAAGTGATGTTTCCAGGTTGTCCAGGCTGAAGGAGAGGGTTTATTTCAGGTACTCCATCTTGAGCCTTTGACTCAGAAATTGGACCTACAAGGCAGTGGAAGGATGTAGGGTTTTCTTTGAAGACCCTGCCCCTAGCCTCTGACTCAAGTGTCTGGACCGCGAGAGGCTACAAGGCGCAGATACCGAAACAGAAACGGCGGAGGCCGACCGAGCAAGGTACAAAAGCAAGTAAATTTCACTCATGGGTTGGAGCCCATTTAGTCTTGCAACACCACTTTAAACTTTCAAGGTGTGAAGCGCATTGCTAACCATGATGCAGTATTATTTAGATCATTTGATACTGTTTGCATTACGACGGCGTCAGATCAAGGATAACCTATGTCGCCTGTGTACGCGATAACTGTGAGTGAATGACCCGGAAGCACTTCGACTCCACAGGCATTACATGCTGTTAATTAGTCTTCCAATGAAGAAGTTGAACAGGAAAAGTAAAAACCAGCCTTGCCTGACACCGCTTGATGTGGTGAACTTAGAAGAGAGCTTACCATAGACATCCACACGTCCACGGGAGTTGGTGTACAGCGCCTTAGGAAGGGTCAAGAATTTGTGCGGGGACACCTTTACTCCACAGACTGTCATACTGCCTCATGGTCTAGAGTTCAAAGTAGTCCAAGGTAGTTTTCACTGTTGGTTGCTGCAAACAGCATCCGCTTCCAGAATCGGTCGGAGGTGGAAAATGTGTTCAACATGTTCTCTTGTAGGACGGAACCCAACCTGGTCTTCACGGATCTGTTACTCCTGTGTTCAGTCGACCATCAAAGGATGAGACCAGAGAGCGCTTTTGATGCCACAATGGTTTTCGCAAAGCGTCGCGTACCCTTTTTGAAGATAAGAGTAACTGTTTGTGTGCTATTCTGCAGGTTGCTTTTCTTTAAATTATGTCGTACCAATAGGCTTTGTTCGATTGGCTACCAGAGATTTACCTCGAAGACGGCTGGTTAAAGACCACAGCTCCTGGTGCCTTCTCACGTTTCATTGCAAATATTTCGTGATTCATTTCTTCCGACGGGCGATTGGAGTTTACATTTGCCTGTATGAACCGCCTCCGGAGGCTCTTCCAGGAGACTAGCTATTGTTCTTCGATGTTTTCCCGAGTAAATTAGTTAGCCGCGTTTTTCACATAGATTTTTAATGACTGTTGCTGTCCCAAGGCCAGTCGACCGTATCAGTTGATGTAGGACACGGCTGTTTCCGGTGGCTAAAGCTCTCCCCATCTTCTGAGCTTCCGATGTCCACCAGAGCTCGATCTTTCTTCGGGGTCTTCACTATTTGGCGTTTGAAGGGTTTGCGTGCGCCGTCGTACTCGCCTGGTGGTATGGACTTCACGGCATCAATCGTGATAAGCGATCTTGACGACATTCAGTGGTCATATGATTCTACCGGGAAAGTCGGACAGACAGCAAGGAATGCAGCCAGCATAGCTCCTTTCACATTTCACCACGTTTCATCCACATGGCAACTAAGAGTACAGTATTGGTTTACTGTGGGGAGTTGTTGGGCTAGCTCAAATACTGTTGAGCTATGGTAGTTCTTCGAAGATAATGGATTGGCGTTCTTCTTGCTGACTTGCGGGGTCCTGAAGGGAAGCTGACTGCCAGACGTGCACGCATCATGGCGTGATCGGAATCAAGTGGTGTGCTCCAGAACGAAATACTGACGACCACGTGATACAACTGGGTCCTCGGTTGATTTGAAGTTGGTGTCCGCCAGGTTAAGCGATGCGAACGCTCATGTTGAAAGTTCGTACTTGCCAGAAACAGTCCATGGTCAGCGCACAACTGGAGAAGTCGCTCTTTGTTGTCTGTGCGGCGAGCATCGACTCTGAATCGACCACCCAAACGTGATTCCAAGGAGCTGAGGCGACGTACTTGAGCATTCAGATAGCCTAGAAGGACCACAATGTCAGTGCTTTTTGCCTGGCGAATGAGCCCGCATAGCTCTCAATAGAAATGATCCTTCTCGGCACCAGGATTGCAGTCCGTTGGGACATAAGCCAACATTACTAACAGACACCGCTTTTTATGTTGATGTGCCTTGAACGCGATTCAGCTGGATAAACCGGACGACACAAAGACAACAACTCACTGGGATCCGATCCAGCAAAGCGCATTCAGCTCTGGGGTTGAGTGCAACTCCCACGCCATATATTCCACGAGTCATTGTTCTGGATCACCGGACACAGGGTTTTGACGGCAGATTAATTTCAACGTTCCATTCGAGTTCGTTGGGTTCCTATAGATGTGTTAAAAGAGACCAGCTGTACTGTTCTTTAGTGTTCAGCGCACCACTGGAGACGACGATTTTCCGAGTGAATTGCCGTTCCGTCCTTTTCCCATATTGCTTCAGTGACACGTGTTTTCTTTTGGCCGGTTCATCGAGTCGTTTGAAACAGAGTACAAAAGCCTTCTTCATCTCCTGTCATACTTCTAGCTCTTGATTGTCCGGTGTCTGAGGGATCTGCGTGTCCCATCATAGTCACTAGTCGCTAGTATGGCTTTTCTGGCAGCTATAAGATTTGCCCACCTCAGCGACATCCAGTGTATATTTGGTCCAGTTGGATGGTTCGAACAGACACATCTGGCAACCAAATTCTTTAAATTACATCTCTTCGACCTTCAACCAATCCTCGCCGAGCTACGGTTTATGGATGCATATGTTCTCTCAAGTGCCACCGAGCCCCCTGGTCCGGATGATCTTCCACCCGCATCAATCAAAGATAGGGGTGAAGTCCCCATCCAACACTTGGTTGGTCTGTTTGTCTGCA